CTAGTGTATTAAAGAGAGACATACATAGCTTGGGAATGGTAATTTCCTTATCTCGACACAGAGTGCTGAGCCCGAACGTGGCCCGCCTCCCTGCTGCGAGTAGTTGCTTTGCACATGCTGAAAACTGCGCTCCTGGGCCATAGTGCAACCCGGCACCTCGGCTACCCGGTACTCAGCTTCCATTAGCCGCTTCCGCTCACGTGTAGTGCCCCCGAAAATGAGGACTTCACACTTGGCGGCTTTGCGGCCATTCCCGTCGCTTTGCAGTAGGCTTCGAGGAGCCCCAGAAGGCATTCAGCTCTATAGTGCCCAGTCGCCACCAGTGACACATCATCAACGAAAACCAGGTTGGTGAGTTCACCGGCCGCCAGGCTAACACTCATATGCAAGGCATAAGCCATACTGCCACCGGTATCAAACACGTCCGGGTCATGCAAGATGGACATCACCAACCTACCGAGCTAGCCGCCCTGCACAGCTCACCGGCGGATTGTCCAGTTTGCGTCAGAGCCCGGTTCATTCACCGGGTTGTGTTCATCCGATATTTGTCAACCACAGATGCCTCCTCCCCGCCGCGAGCTGGAGAGGGAAGCCGTGCTAGCCCCGCACAGCGCTGACCAAGTACGCGGCTGGGCCTGGTGGGCACTAATAGGAGCCGCACGACGGTAGGTATTGCAGTGTTGAGCACTTGCAGGCGGTGCAGGGTGTAGTGAGCCGAGCTTGCATGTTGGCAGGAGGGACGTGTGCCACACAGCCAGAGGACTGATGGTGCGCGGTGAAGCAGTGTGTTGAGTGTTCAGAACACCAAGCAGCCCATCAGTAGAAGTGTAGCAGCGGTGGGACGGGATGGGCCATGGCCAACGCAAAGCGGGATCTAGTGCTGTCTATGTGTCCTAGAGATCCAGGCACACACTCGGGCCCATTACACCCGCCGTTTCAGCTTTCGGCCACGGACACAGGAGCACACGTATACGTTCGGATGAAGGTTGTACAACGGCACGTGTGCAGGTTGACAGATATGTGCAGGTGATGTGCGGGCGCGGGGGCATCCTCGGCTTTCCGAGCAGATCTCGGATTGCACCTGTGCCGGAGTGGTCTAACGGGTGGGTCTCAAGCTTTGAGAATGGGCTTTCCCATAGCGAAAGCTGCGTGATTTCGAACCTCACCGGGTGTAGAGGCTAAGCTCCTTTTCGCATGCACAAATTCACTGACCGCATGGCTCAAAATACATTGTATTGCTAAGCAGGGCCACAAGGGACACCGATTCCTAAGCACATGGCGGGAAGCCGGTCGCGGCTCAAGTCTGTGCGGACGTGTACGACAGCGGGGAGCGGAAAGCCACAGGATGGTTGTGTACGCACGTGACAAGCACTGCCTGTCCGCCATGGCATTGGTTGGTGCACAAGTTGTTCACTCCTGGCGGGATCAACCTGGACCCATGCTCGTCCGCGGCTGGTAACACACGTGTTGGGGCGACAGTATATTACGATATGGAATCCGATGGTCTGCTGGAGTGCAACACGTGGATGGGTGTTTGATGCGCAACGGAGTACATGGCTGGTCGCATTGGCCAAGCAGTACTGCTGCTGTGGGTTATGCGTGGTTTGATGCCATACTGCCATACTATAGGCAGGCGGCTGGCAGAGGTTAAGGCCTGACTTCTGCTCCCAGTTGACCCAGTCGACCCGGGTTCAAATCCGCCTGCCGGCTCCTCGGGTGTTTGAGGAGTGATGAAATGGGAGGTGGCCCCCCATCTTATGGACGGTGTAGGACGTGATAATATCAACTTGCGAGCTGACCAGGAACTAAGTTGATGCGCCGTTGATCCGCTAGATTTGGTTGGATGCTGGTGGTGAGTTGCCGAACTCAACGAATACATTCTGAAGTCGGATGGGGTGACGGATTAGGGTGCCCCTCTAGCAGGGGAGAGCAGGGACTGCCCCGGGAAAGGGGGCCGCTGGCGAAGTTAACCACCCTGTAACAACATACATACTGCAGTGGCCTGTCTGTTTTCTGCTCAACGTTTGGCATTTGTGTGTGAGAACAATCTGGGAGCCACCAGCAGCAAGGGAGGACCCCTGACATGGGGAGCGCAGGTCGCCAATCCACATGGAAGTGTGGTGGTTTACATGGGCCAAGACGTGCAACGTTTTGTGTCAGTGTTTGGTTGCATGGACGGAATACCATGGGCCATGCCCCGCCCAACGGAGAGCTTGATGAATTGAGGCACAGAACACACATGGAGCACACATTCTTCTCCACAGACATCTGCATTTTCATTTGTTTTCAATCTAGCTCGTGGTACTCAGTTTAGTGGTGTGTATCGGAGATTCCCCATTGTTTCCACCCGCACCTATTCATGCATACGTGTGTTGTGGGATAAACTGGACAAACTGCGGATGAGCTGGGGTAGGAAAACAGTGCGGCCTCGGCGGCTGACTTGGGTATTGCAGTTGTGGCCCTGAGTGCTTGCCTCCCGACATTGCCAGAGTACGGTAACCAGGCGCGCAAGTTTTCCTGCCCCACGTACTGGGATCGAAACCAACACGCACATGAGCCACTTGTAAGCGGTCCCCTTGCAAAGTTTTCTGTAAATTCCTTAAAAGTCATGTGATTCCAAATGCCAGCCTGAGCCAATTCTGCCAACTCGACAGCCAATTCGACACCCGGACAGGCTGATTCGACACCCGGACAGACTGATTCGACACCCGGACGGGCCAATTCGACACCCGGACAGCCCAATTCAGGCCCAGCACAGCGCAATTCCGAGGCTCCACAGCGCAATTCTAGAACCTCCGGCGAGCCTGCCAGAGCGATTCAAGACCCCGACGGACCAATTTTTATGTCAGGAATAAAATCCAGGCTAATTCTGCGACAGAGCTCTACCCCAATCCAGCATAACAGGTACCGTCTTCTACATAACAATGATCATCGCCTATATCCTCCATTACATATCGCTTGGTTAGGCGCCGAGGTCGCGCGTTGCGCAGATCCTCAGCCTGTCAAAAATTTAGCCCTGCCGGACACCCGAAGGGCCGACTACGAAAGGCCCTCGCACAGTGCAAGGCGAAGACCAACCATACAACCGAGGCCATGAGGACCACCTCGAGAAGCGGGCCAGGTAAGTATGAATACTAATGACGCGGCGTTGCCACCCACTCCAAACAGCTATTGTCATTGCTTTTTGTCCAAGCGATGGTGGGTGGGTTAAATCATAACGAGCACGAGGGTGCCGCCACTTTAACCGCTGGCATTTCCCCTGCCTATAACTGAAGGTTTTCTGATAGTAACGATAGAAAACCGAGGCTTTCTGTGAACTCAGAAGAGCTGGTTGTGTGTGTTGGTACGGCATGTAATGCCAGTTAAGGAGGTCGCTTGCACGGAAGCAAGCACACCAGGCAAGAAAGTTGTGCTTGCTTCCGTGGCAGGGGGCAAAGCCTGGCTACCGAAGCGGATCTGATGCTGTACACTGTAGGTTAGGGCAGAAGCCGCAACGGAACCCTGCCAGTACTGACGCTAAGGCGTCCCTCAAAGACGAGGTAACCATCCTACTTCGCCCGTGTGCTGTTATAAGCNGGGGCATTCAGCAAAAACATGCAATTCGTCTTCAACCGCTCCACAGTCA